CCGCCCCCCCTCCCCCCCCCCCACACACACACATGCGCGCCCGCACACACACACACACACACACGCACGCACGCACGCACGCACGCACACACACACACATATTTACACTTCAATTTTATATCTACTCGCACACACACCCGAACAAATTAATAATCAACTTCCCAGAAATTTGATGTGGACGGCGACGGCTTCATATCTGTCGAGGACGCGAGGAGGGCGCTGGGTGAGGCCGGCCACGGCCACAGGGACGCAGGGGACGTCGTGGCGGCGGCCGACAGGGATGGGGACGGGCGCATCGATTACGTAGAGGTGGGTAGAGTGGGGTGGCGGCAGTGCGATTTTGTACGTGGGGTTGACTTGATGTGTGCATGATGCAAGTGCGTGATATGTATGAGATTGGGGGTCCGATGGGGGTGCCATGCGTGGATGCGGGTGCATAGGGCTGCACGGGGTGCATGTTTGCTGGGGCTAAGCCAAAGAATGCGTTTGAGGCGCATTACATTGCATGTTTACGCATTGCCTTTGTCGCCTCGTCACCGCCCCGCAGTTTGTCATATTGATGACGGGTGACGCAAGCGGGGCCATACCGGCCCAGTGCATTGCAGCCTCAAAGGGCGGCGCGTCGCCAGCGCCAAGTGGCACCGGGCCACTTGCACCTGCTGCGGACAGCTCGGCCAACGGCAGAGACACCACTGGCAAAACGCTGGCCGGGCCTGCGGACGCCACGGCGCCAGCAGCCGGCCCTGCAAGTGGGACCGACACAAGCGCCGGTGTTGGCGGCACAGCTGGCGGCCCGGCGTCTGGGGGCCGTGATGTGTCGTCTGTTGCAGCAGCTGACTTGAGTAAGGCTGCCATTGAGAGACCAGCATCCGCCAAAGGCAGCTGAGCGGCCGAGACCTGCACCAATTTCATCCTGCATATGGGCGCCGGCTTTTGCGCAGCAAGGCTGACTTCAATTGGCGTGCATGGCGTGTGACTGTCAGGTGCTATTTGGACATGATGCTTCTGCCCGCACAAGACAGCATGCAGCAACACGTGCAGTCGCCCCTGGCATTCCACCAGGGCTTTCCATGTTTTGTTGCAATTGTACTGTCCACTTTCTGCTGCCTCCTTGCTTGATTTGCAATGAGGATGAAAGCATTGACCTGTTTGCTGTCCTTGTTGTTGTTGAGATGACAACATGATGCACAATCACCGGCTGCAGCCAATGGCTGCGAGTCACACTTCTCAACATGTTGTACAGCTACACCGTTCCATTTCACGTGACCATTTGTTGCACTGGGCAAGTGCAGCGCCGGCCAGCACGCTTGTGTCTCCCTGGCAGCTCGCTGTAAAGGCTTCCTGCTGATGGCACGAAGTTATAGACCAGCATCGTGGTGACGTGCTGGCACGTCGCTACTGTGGGCACCACGTTGCATACGGCGCAAATGAGCGGCAAGGCAGCATGTCATATGTACATTTTCACCGATTCAAGCCTTGGAGAAAGGTATGTGCACAAAGCCAGGCGGGTATACAGCCAATGTGACCATCTCAGTCCTAAGCAAGTAACCTGGGTGTGGTGGATGTTTTTTCGCCTCAACTGGGCGTGACTCGGGTGCCACGGCGTATCGGCGCATACTTATTTCCGCAGTGGCACAGGTGTCATCTGCCATGCCCCAAGAAGAAACTCTTAATGATCAGGGCTCCCAACAAGTGTAGGGTAGTCAAGATACATTTCCTACTTGCTCACAAATAGTCAAGAAGCAGGGTGCATTTGAGCTGGCAGGTCGGGCAAATGCATTGGCCAGTAAAGAAACGTACCTCAAGTGGTCACGGCTTCATTTGTCACAGATCATGGCTTCCAAAAGCGTACTGGCATATGTGATATGTTGCTCAGTGGCCCAGGATTCATTAACCTTGTCTCACTTTCTCTCAATATGGCTCCTAGCAAGTGTGCAACCAGCAGGTACAATTCCTACATGCTTGACCTGTACAAAAAGTAGTCAGGAGGCAAGGTGCATTTGAGACACAAGTGGTCGCAAGTGACTCAAGAGGTCACGGCTTCATGGCAGCATACTGGCGCATGAATCCTGTTGCGCGGTAGTACAGGATTCACTGGCCTTGTCTCAAGAAGAGACTTTATCAGCAGGGCTCGTAGCAAGTAAGTGTCCAACCGTCCTGATACATTTTTGAAAGATGCTGATGTGTGTACATAACCGTCAATGGCAAGGTCCGTCTGAGGAGGCAGGTTGGGCAACTGCATTGGGAAAGTGAATCAAAAAGTTTTGGCTTTGCAAAAGCATACTGGCGCATCAAGTGTGTCGCGCAGTGGCACAGGAAACATTTGCCTTGTCTCAAGCAGAGACCTTTCACAAGCGGGCTCCTAGCAAGTGCACAGCCGCAAAAGTGGCCTTTCTACATGCTGATCTGTACACATTTTGGTCAAAAGGCAAAGTGCATTCGAGGAGGCAGGTCAGGCACCAGCAACGGGCACCTGCTTGCAGAGGGAGTTGGACTCGCAGCCTCTTAAGTCACCTTGCGCTTGCAACCCGCGCAGCCTTGGGGCCGCCGTTGCAAATGACACCAAGGCGGGAAGAGCTTTCACCCATCATCTCGGCCGTGCCTCAAGCTCAAACCCTGGTTGACCCAATTGAGCAGCGCAACCACGCCTGCCCCCAGTACTGCAGCACGCTCCCTGGCGATCACTGGCCCGGGGCTCCAAGACCCTCTTTTAGCGGCGCCTTCGCCGCTGTCACGGCGGCCGCCTCCTGGGCCTCGGCCTCCGCGACCGCTGCCGCAGCCGCGCCCTCGGCCGCCGCGAGCGTCGCCGCCGCATCAGCCGCCACCGCCGCCGCCCGGTCTGCTTCTTCCTGGCTTTTCGTCGCAGCCCTGCCCATCTCGTCAAAACTGCTCTGCAGCGCGGCGAGGGCCTCCTCCCTCGCCAACTTCCTAGCAGCGAACGTCGCCCGCTGCGCCGCCAGCTGCGCAGAGGCCTCGTCGCTCGCGTGCGCGGCGGCGTCAGTGGCGGCGGCCAGGTGCACCCTCTCGTCCAGGGCTGCCTCCGCGCGGGCCGTCGCCTGGCTCAGATTGCCCATCAGGAGCTCCATATCGTCGCGCAGCCCCTGCAGCTTTTGCCGGTCCAGCAGGCCTGCAACTTGCTGCTGGAGCTCGTCCAGCTCTCTAACCACGGCTGCCTCCTCCTCCTGCCCCGCCGCCAGCGCCGCCTTTGCGGCCGCTGCCGCCGCCGCCGCAACCCGCGCCTTCTCATCCACGGCGGCGGCCTCGTTGGCCAAGGCGCCGTCCTCCAATTCTGCCCGCCCCCGCGCCTCTGACAGGGCAGCACGCCTCGCGGCCAGCGCCGCCTGCGCGTCCGTGAGCCGCGCCGCCGCCTCTTCGCTCGCCTGCTGAGCTCTGGCCGCCGCGGCCGCGCGCTGCTCCCTCTCCTCCTTGGCCTTTGCTGCCTCGTCCTGCAGCGGCCCCACCACCACCAGGTCCTTGTCCGCCCTCGCCAAAGCGGCGGCCAGGCCCTCTCTCAGCCTCCGGAGCCTCTGGAGCTTCTGAGGCAGCGGCGACGCAAGCGGGCCGCTGCCAGGAGCGGCGGCGGTCTCCTGCACCTCCTGCTCCTCTGGCCCCTGCCCCGGGCCCTGCCCCTGCCCCTGCCCCTGCC